GTGTTGTGTTCTTGGGCAAGACACTTCACTCTCACAGTGCCTCTCTCCACCCAGGTGTACAAATGGGTTCTGGCAAACTTAATGCTGGGGGTAACACTGCAATGGACTAGCATCCCATCCAGGGGGAAGTAGAAATACTCCTATTCATTTCATGCTAGAGAAACCGGGATGAGTTCTGGCCTGATGGGCCACTTGGCTCGTATACAGACTTCACCATTTTGTATTTACTTGTTATTTAATAGCTATATCACCCTGTCATCTTATCTAGTATCATGAGCAAGCTACATCCAGTAGCTATAGTTCTTTGCATACTTTTGGGGCCTATTTTTTTCTTTCACAGTTGTAACATTACACTTTTTAGTGCAGAGTACGGAATCTGATAAGGGACAATCCCAAAATATTTTTTCAATTCTGAAAAAAAATTTTCAAATCCGAATAAAATATTTCAAATCACAATGTTCTTTGGAAATCATTTTTGGACAATTAATCAAATCTAAAAAACTATTACAAATCCGAATAAAATTATTGGATCCACAAATACCTTTTTACAAATCCGAAATCCAGAAAAATATTTTGTCATATGATACTTACGCCAGCAGTCAGCCAGCGTCAGAGGTATTCCCCACTATTCCAAAATGGCGGATGAACAAGAGAAAAGAGTTCAGGATCATTTAGAATATAAAGTACGATGTTCTGTTATAAGCTTAAGTGTCGAAGCCAATTTGGAAGCAATGAGAAATTCTGCCGTCGGCATGGAACGCTTAACGGAAGTGAACAAGAAAGTATGTATCCTTCTCTTCAAAGTCCTTACCTTTATGAAAATCCCATGGTATTCTACCAGAAAGTGAACAATGGTCTCGTAACAAAATCCCCTTTCAGAGTACATGTAATGTTCTATAGTGTTTATTTCGTCTGCGGAACTGCTCAACATACTTTCCCGTTCACGTCTCTTTAGCATTCCACACTGGAGGCAGAATTTCTCATTGCTTCCAGAATAATTCACTTTTACATTTAAGCTTATAGCAGAACACTGTACTTTATATTCTAAACAATCCTAAGCTCTTTTCTCGCGTTCAAACGCCATTTTGGAATGGCAAATAGCAGGGAATACCTCTGACGCTGGCTGACTACTGGCGCAAGTATCACACGACAAAATTATAATTTCCAAAATATTTTTCTGGATTCGACAACATTTCTTGGATTTTCAAACTAGTTTCTCATTTGGAAAAAGGTATTTGTGGATCTAATAATTTTATTAAGATTTGCAATAGCTTTTTTAGATTCAATAAATTGCTTAAAAATGATTTCCAAAAACATTGAGATTCAAAATATTTTTTCGGGTTTGAAATTTTTTTTTTCTGGATTTGAAAATAATTTGGGATTGTCCCTTTTCAGCTTCCGTAGCAGAGTGCACTATGGGGATGGTTTTGGGGGCCGCCATCTGCTAAGGCACTTTGGACCTAAGGCAATATGGAACTATGACAAGAAAGTGTAAACTTTAGTGTTTATTTAATTAATTAAGTTCAATTAATTAATTAGTCTAGAGGCAAGGAAAAATGTGGGGGTGAAGTGGGAAAGGTACTTGTGTTCTTAACTTAAAATATGTTCCACCTAGACCAGTTGGCTATGAATATCGCAAAGCTATATACTTGTTTCAGGTAACCCCTTGCTCTCCTTGTTTTATCTGATAAATATGTCTTTCTAATCAGTCCCACTAGACTTGGATGTCAAGTGTAAAGCCACTTTAATGGGAGCCCTGTTTCTTGTTGTAAGTAAAGTTCATTGTTTTTCTTAGTATGGAGATCATTACAAATTATGACAGTTTTGGAATACAGGACCATCCTCCTATTCTCAACTCTTCCATGTTCCTGTCTGATTTGTTATACTTTTGTGGTATTTGCTACCTTTACCAGGGCTCAACTTTCAGGAGAAAACCTTGGGGCCAGGTGACCCCTAAGTTTTCAGATTTAGTCGCCAGCGAAAGTGTTTCAGTGAAAAGCGTGAAAAGTTAGTCGCCAGTGAAAAAAATTTGGTCACATTGGCGACCCCAGTGGTCGCAACATCAAGCTCTGTTTGCAATGTTTATGTAGTTCATTCCTCTCAATTTAATGACAGGGCTCTGAATGTGGCATGTTCTTGTTGGGCTCGTACTCCATGATTATTTTTTTCAAAGTGTGATGTTGTTGAGGCTTCTCTATCTCTCTGAGAGAGAGGACTTTTAGGTGGCAACATAATGGGTCCCAGAAATGTCCAGACAGTCACTATGTATTGTGCTCTGCATGAGAATTCAGGAGTTTTGTGTTCTTACAACTGGAACTTGTCACTTTATCTCCTGGCTGAAGTGACTGTGTAGAACTGAAGATAAAACATGTCAGGCATCTTATACCCTTTAGGAAATGAAGCAATTTGGCCTTGAAGTGTTCTCTCTAGAAGAGAAGGCCATTTTTCCTTATGTAATTTTGAGTCTTTCCCAAATGAATGTTTTCATACTGTGATTAAATTTGGAAAGATCAATCAAAGGTAATTTAATTTAACTTCTCTACTTTTCATTTTCAGGACTTTATGTTCTTTGAACACAGCAACAATTGAAGAGTAACTCATGTACATGTACATGAATTGGATTCTGAATCCAACACATGATGTGTCTTGGAGACTTAGTTTTTAGGATTTTTGAGTGTCTTAGTATAATACAAGGTTTTTTTTTCACCAGATATGTAGCTAAAGATAAATGTTGTTTAGCTGAAGTATAAAATCTGTAATAACCGGTGATAAGAATTTACATCAAAAGTATTCTGTAGCACTTATTGCTGTTGGCTGTATTAATACGTAATCTAGAAAGTTTCTGAACTATGCACCGATCAATTTGAAACTTTATATAACATCCATCCAGAACAAACCCACAGGTATTTGATTTTCCCCTCCCTTGGGCCAACAGGGGTGTTCAAATACCCCACCTTAGGGTCATTGATCAAATGCCCCTACATCTGGGACACATGACAAAAATAAGTCATGCAAAGAGAAAAGTTCACTCTTTCTATTGTGTTCCAATAATTTTTTTTTTTATATTATGTTATCAAAATATACCAGTGATTAAATTTTGATAAGCAAAATTTAGAGTTACCTCTATACATGGCACAAAACTTTGTTAGGTCTTCCTTTTCAGTCCACAATGTCATTGTCAACCAAAGAATTTGGTTGTTTTTTGATGTCTTCTTGCTTTATCCTGGAGGAATCGCTCCGTTATTAAATTCCTCAACCCAGTATCAAATTCACATCCCCGGGGGGGGAGGGGGGAGGGCACATCAACAATTCAAATGCCCGGGAGGGGTGTTGCTGTTTCTATTTGATCGATAGGTTAGACCAGGAACCACTTTGTAGCGACAAGGTTCCAGTAATGATATACAGTTGTTGATGAGGCAAGTATCATTGTATTTGAAATGTTTATAAATTGTTGGGTGAAGTATACTTACGTAAGTCTACGTATAGCGTTATTTAAAGGAAGAAAAATGTTGTTAAAAAGGATTAGCATTAAGAGGGAACGTGACAGGAGAAAATATGTAGAGGAGTGCGCTAGCCTCCTACGCAGACACTTTTTGAGCCGCTCTTTACGCAATCTTCCTCCCAGGAAGATTGCATGACGAGTTCAAAGTTGCATCTGCGTAGGAGAAGTACGCTTGCTACTTGTAGGTAGAGCTAAGTGTTCTTGCAGGTAATAACTATTCGCACAGCAATTCAAAGCAACCGCAAGTGAATTTCTCTAAGAAAAGACACATTAGAATAGGAATAAATAAACGCCTTTTGTGTTAGCTGATCATCTTTTAGTAATTTGCTTGCTTGTTGTTGTACAGTTTCACCTCCCCTTTCAACCATTTTTCGTAGGCGACTAGTTATCAAAATACCGAAATCTGGTCGGAAGCCTTCGGATCTAGCACGGTAGGCAACGACAACTTCTTAAGAGCGGATGGTTTCGAATTGTCCATTGCCAGGAACCCATCATTAGGAGCGTGCAACTCCCAAACCAAGTCTCGGCATTTTTACAGACCAGGCCATTTTTAGGCTTCATTTCCCGCGAAATAGGTCAGTTCCGGTCTACATGAGCGCGCATCGGTAAGGAAAAAAATGACGGCCTCAGACATCAGTTAAAAATTAAGTCCGTGCTTGTGATTAGTCACTGAGATTCCTGCGGTGGTAGGAATTCGCTGTAAATTCAAACTTAAAATAGATCGGTCTGTGAAAACGCCGTGAAAGGACTATGGAGTAGTTGCACGCTCCTAGTGCTCGAGCTATCGTGTATAATCTCCAGTATGGAGTTACTTCTCACGATCTGACCTCACCACGGGCGCTTATTGGGCATGAGACATCATATAACCTTGAAACGACGACAAACTCTGTTCGTAGGGGCGCCCCGTTATTTTTTTTGAGGGGGTCTGTGCAATTAAAAAAAAAACATTCCTGCAGAGTAAAAGCTGCTGAAAAAATTGTGCAAGGGGAGCCAGGGGAGAAAATCGAGCAAGTTCTTCCTACTATGCATGGCACAGAAAATTGTCCAACCCCCTTGTCATTTTCC